CACTAAATGAAAATTTCAACTGCTTTTTGTGGTTAGCCTATACTTGTGGTGACTCACAAATCTATAATGTGTGGTTTTGGTTTTTATGGAGTTAATTTTACTGGAGGAAGGAGCTTGAATTTTCTTATAGCTGGAGAGAAGACACTTGGAAGGGTTGCTGTCAGCAGAGGTCATACTGGATTCACATTTTATCTTGAAAAATGCGTGTGCCTGTGTGCATCTGTGTTTTGAATGAGGAACAGTAAGTGAAGTAAAGGCAAATTTTGATGTGATTGAATCATGTTGTCTATGTTTGCCTCTGGTTTGAGTGTCTGAGTGAATTTTGACTCCACGTGACCACATCGTACACAGCATCACCAATGCACATCACCATATTATGAGTTTACAGCCCAGTAAAATACCAGTGGACATGCCACAACCCCTGCCCTGCTAGCAGAGAGCACACAGTAATGCAGCTGAATATGTTAAGAGGTATGTCACTTCCTTGGGAAGGCTGACAGACGCTTAGTTGGACCCATCCCTGTTTGAGGAGGCCGAACACCACTCAACCAAGAGATTGATTTTCTGCCACACTGTCAAGGCTTTCTGATGGGAAGCAATACTTTAACAAGGGGTAAGTCACAACCATTGAGTCCCTGCAGGTACATTTAGTGAGCTGTGCCTGAGGGCTCTTGCATGGTTTGTGTAACAACCAGATGCAATGCTGGCCTTTGCGCCAGAAGGAGAGAAGAGGAGATGAATGTGTAGACCAGTCTCAGCACTAGTTGATGGGTGAAGGAGCCCCATCTCCTGTGGCTGGTAGAGATAACTGCCTGCTACTGATCCTCCATCACCTCTCACACGCACATCAGTCTGCTCAGCCTTAGCAGATATGTTTGAGAAAGAACAGAAAGTGCAGAAAATTAGCAGAATTACTTTTTTGGGGGGATTGTTTTTATTTTCTGCTGAGAAAGACCTGCTGTGTGGGGCCTGTCGCCCAGAGGGAGCCGGCAGCTCTGTGCTGCTGTGCCTTTGGCATCCATCCGGGCTGGAAAAGGGCTGGGTCAGCATAGGCTCACGCAGCAGAGCTTCCCATCCAGGCAGCTGTTCCATACACCTGGCTTGACCATCTGCTGCTTGGTCAGCTGGTGAATCTCTGCTTCTTAGTCCCCAGCCCTTGCTGCAGCTCCATATATCGCCTGACCCTACGAGCAGTGTTGCAGCAGCATCCCGTTGTCAAAAGAGCTGGAATTTGCACCGAAGTGTAGGTCAGAGTGTGCTTGGCATCACTTCCTTGGTGAAGTGGTTCCCCAGGCACTGGTGACTTGAAGCTTTGCTCTGCCTTGCTAGACTTCCCCTTTTTAACTTCATAAAGACTGTTAGAGCATTACAGCCCACCTTTTCTCCTTGATACCAGCGCGCTTAGACCCACAGAGCATTGTGGTTAAACTTCTACAGCGCTCTCTCATGAAGATAGGCATTGCTGAAGAAATTCTCATAAATCTGTCTTGTTGGGGTTCAGTCTGAAAAGCTTGTCCTCTTTAGTGATGTGCTGAGTCAATCCAATTGACTTCATTTTTCTTATTCACAAAGATGAGGTGGAAATAAGACTACGTGTACTCTGCATGCCTGCAGACTAGGGTAAACTGTCCATGCTAACTTTTAACAAATCTTGCTCAGGAAACCATCTGGCATGGAGCTCTAGATGTTTTTCTCTCAAAGTCGTTCTTGTCACTGTGGTATAAGCACACCAAAAGGCCCACATCTTCATATCATGTGCTCAACTCTACTTGCAAAAATAGCCCTGTAGTTCTGCACGTGCTACTGTCATGTGGAAAGCTAACCATGCAAATACCTGTTTGCAGGACTGCGCAGTAGCTGCAGAACCTCATTGCATTTCTAGGCAGGATTCTCCTGAAAATTAGCTGAGCTCTACATGAGACAGTTCTTGAACACAAGACTGTGTGGAAACAGGATTAAAGAAATTATTAAACAAAAATACAGGGAATTAAACTTGTTGAGCCCTGTCCTTTCTATACAGCAAAACCAGGTCCTGGTTTGGAGCATCTGTGTGGATATACCTTTGTCAGTGGAAGCAATAGGGTGCTGTTCGTCTTGAAGGAGGTGCAGGAGGACCCCTGTTAGCACCTAGCTGAGCTGTACAGTTGTTGAAGCATGCACTCCTTTCTCCTCTGGAGTTCAGTGCAGAGGGTCTTGTGAGTGAAGCCTTTGTGTGCTTTCCTCCAAGTTAGGTTATATGTCTGCTTGAATAATAGTCTGTAAAGAAGTCAATTAAATGATTTCTTATCCCAACTTCCACTGAAACTGCTGGAGAAGAAAAAAAGCTGCTCTTCCCTTCAATACCTACCTTCCACCTCCCCACACACACAAAAAAATACTCCTTCATTTTTCACCTTCAATCCTTCCTTCTTCAAAACTGTATGACAGCAACGTTACAATGAAGTGATAAAGAGCTCACTTTAGAGCTAGAGGAGAAAAAGAAGTGGAGGACTCTCAAGTCTCATTTCAAGGACTGAAAAACCTTAAAACACGGACAGGGAATGTACTTGCTGCATCCTGAGTTTGTCAGCCACCTTCTGCTTTTTTCTTAGTCAAACACACCAACATCTTATGTCTTTAATAACTATCACCTCTTTTTATTTTACCTTTCAAGATTTTTTTTCTTATCTTTAATTTCTTGAGCTTTTTGCCGCATACAGTATGAGAAAGAAGACAAATGTAAAAGGTAACTGTCTACTGTATTGCCCAATCAAGTTAATTTCTAGTGACCTGACACGGTTTGTCATATATAACATATCTAATTGAAAACATACCAAATCAGGTTTCTTTCTATGATATGTTGTTTATTGTTTGAAATCATGTCTTAATATTTTTATTAAATGTAAAAAAAAAAAGTGAATTGTATTACTAAGATTAAAGCCTTTATAAACTCAATCAAACTACAATTAAATAGTACTGTCAAAGTACTGTCTAATTAAAGCAAATCCCCAAATCAGAATTAACAAATAGTGTTGGACTCCAACCAAACCATTACATTAATACATAATCAACGCATATGAATTCCCAAATAAGAAATCTAGAGAGAAAGCTGCCTATTTAATTATACATTCCAATTAAGATTTTGGTCTCAGTCAGTGCAGTAGGCTTATCTGAACATCTTACTATTAGCCCAGCTGAGTTACTTGTAAGTCACATTTACAGTCCTTGACTCTTCTACTTAATTGGACTGTTATGGGGCAGATCTTTTCTTGTGATTTCTCTTGCTCTCTTTACAAAAAAAAAAAAAAGTTTTACAGCATAACAGCTAACAAGATAAAATGTGGTACAGTTATCCTCTTCACCCAGTCCACATCCTCGCACCGTTAACAATTAAAGAAGGTAGTAAAAGATAGAGGTTGTATCAGCCATATCTTTGTACAGGAAGCTCATTAAATCTATAAAATAAATAAACTAAATACACACTAAAATGAAAGAGGGCAGAGTCCATGCAGACTGCTTGACTGTTGTGCACAGTCTGTAGGGCTGGGCGCTGCTGCGTGATGGGACGAGTCTCGGTGCAGGAGATGGTCTTGTTCAGTGCTGAGCCCTTCAGAAAGAGCAGTGGTTTGCACTCCAGCTTGACTTTTGTCCATGTAATTTTTGCTGGTCCTACTGCCCAGAAAGTGAACAAATGGGTCTTAAACATATCTTTAAAATGGGAAGAAAAATTGAAAGAAATTGTGAGGAAGAGAAAGCTAACTGTAGACACAGTAATGGCTCTGAAATATGTAAAGGGCTGTTGCAAAAAGATGGGGTATAACCTGACATGTAGTTAAGAAAATAACACATTGAAAGTGCGTCCGGGGACATGAGATGCAGGTATTAGGAGAAAATACATAGTCATTCAGGATGGCAGTGCAATGGGAAAAAATCCCCCAAGAACTTGGTACAGGTGCCGTGAGCGGTCCCACTTTCAAAACAGGTTAGACAGACATCTGTAAGAAATTACTTAGGCATTCCCTTTATTACCTGTAGTCTCTTTCTAACCCTAGCTTGCAGTCATCGCAGATGAGGTAGGCCTCATACTACTTTAATCGTAGGAGAAGAAAAGATGTCACAGATTGAATTTATGAACTAGTGATACCCTATGGTATTAGCAATATGGCTTATTAAATCAATGGAAATTACAAATGATTGACAACTACACACTGATCTCAGACTTTGGAAGCTTATACACATTTTGTAATTGCTGCCTGACCACTTTCTTCATGAACCAGATTAAAGCGATGTTTAGCCAGGTGAAAATTTGTGATCGTGTCAGGGCAGAAGGCTACTTTGAAACGCCAACACTGGTGCTATTGAGAAAGATTCAAACTGTTCCTTTCTCACTCTCTGACTTTATGTAGGCAGTATTTCCGTCACGGTATTTTATCCCGTGCTTGCTTACTTTTTTTTTTTTTTGAGCATTCTTGTCTTCAGCTGTGATCCAGCTCTGCTTTTGTATTTGCTGCCTTTTAGGTGTTTTTAAAGGTTTGTTACTTTGTAAAAGGCAGTATTTCCCTCTGCTTAGAGGAGATGATGTAGGGTGACTATAGAGAGAAGACTGGGGGTTAGTCAGGAATTCCTGAATTCTGCTTGTGAGTCCATCTCTGAGCTAAGATAAGCTTACATGAGGACTATTATTGTTCCTTAAATACATTTTGTCTCTTAGCTACGTGCTGGCATCTTCTGTTGGAGAGTGTTTTATACAGATTGTTTGATACCCTGCTCCTGCTGAGCTACTGCCTGTCTCACAGTTTTCTTTGCAAATATTAGAAACTTGAACCTTCCAGGATATCTTTAAGAGCTGATGCAACTATTCCCCTGCAAATGTCTGCAGCGTTCGGATCATATCTTGCCGTGGGTTATGCTCTGAGTACCTGTGAGGGAAAGCTTTCTGCAGATAGATGCAAAATGGTAAATGAGCATAGCTAGTAGCTGAATTATTCTACATGTAAAACTGCATTTTTATCCTCTTTTAGCCATACTCTCAGAAGACAGAAATTCCAGTGAGTCTGCCTGGAAGAATAAAATTTCTATATCTGCCCTAAACACTCCAGAGCCAGCAATGATGCATGAGCCTTTAGTTGGCAGCCAGAAAAGGAAAGCAAGGAAAACTAAAATCACACATCTTGTCCGAACAGCAGATGGTCGAGTGTCACCAGCAGGAGGGACACAGGGTAAGGAAATTGGAGTTTAAATTTTGTTAAAACTGAATGGTTGGAGAAGGTTTGGGAGTACAAACGACCTATCAGGGAAGTATTTTTCACTTAGCTTGTTGTCGTACCTGCTTAGTAAGGTTATTCTTTAAAATACAGATGTCAATCAACTGGGAAATTGGTGAGTCCATAATGGCCAACTTCTTTTGTTTGAATGCCCAAATCTGTCTTCTCTCCCTGGATATTTCTCTCTAAGAACTGAGAGCTAACATAGAGAGAAGTGCAAAACAGTTGTCTTTCATAATTTGTTTCCAGTCCAAGAAAGAAATTATATTGCACCTAGTTATAGGATGTAAAAATGAATTCCATAACACGACAGTCAACGCCACAGTCCTTGCAGGAGTCCTCTGCTGCTGAGATAATCTTTCTGGACTTCTGTATCTGAAATGTACACAAAAGCTGTCTTGTCTGACCTAAAAGATCAAACTCAGTTGAATGCAAAATCAGTAAATTGCTTCATAAACCTTAGTGCCGTGCTTCTTGGGTCAGAAGAGGTTGCAGCATGGATCGGATTACATTTGCAAAATCAAAGTCCTAAAGGTAAAGATACTGTTAACACCAGACCAGTCAGTGTATATGGACTGCTGTGATTTTAAGGGCTAGATTGGCAAGCTTCACTTTCTTTTCTTGCAGAGGAGAAGCCAAAAGAGCTGCCACAAAGTACTCTTCAAAAAACATCAAGTGCAGAAACAGATTGCAACAGTGAATGCTCCAGAACCACAGAGACAGAAGAAAATCATAGTATTACATCAGATATGCCAGCAGTGTCTGCATTTTTTAGCTTAGCTGCTCTGGCAGAAGTAGCAGCCATGGAAAATGTACACAGGTATGGTCTTCTTTTCCTCGTGTTGTCTAAGTGAATAGTGTGTGGCTGCGAGCTTGTTCAGAAAGCGTGTGAATTGCAAAGTGTTTAATTTGGCCTGCATTTCCTTTTCCACAGATTTTCTGTGAATGTCTGTTTTACACCACTTGCTTAGTAGCATTAAGTGTTCGCCTAAATGACAATGTAATCTATTTCAGTAGTCAGTAAAATGATCTTCCCTGGTATGCTTACCTACCAATTTTTGTATATAAGCAGGTTCATATGCTCCTTGAGATGCTAATGATTTGAGGGTTTCTAATTATCAAGTGCCATTTGTCAGATAATAGCAGATTTAAATAGCTATTGCATGCTGATTTGGATTTTTCAGTGACCTGAGACTGGAGAGAATTTCTCGTAACTTCAGCTGAAGTTTTTATGCTGAACGTGGCTGGAGGAAGCTGATGTGTTATTTTTACTCTTGTGCTTTACTGTGTAGGAGGCAAAGCATCTACAGAATGACGTGGGGCAGAAAAACTCTGGGTGATGGAGAGTTTGGGTTGATCCTCTCAGTTAGTGAGTAGACTGTCCACACAGATCAGGTGGAGAATGTGCAGATTATTTAGGGCTGTTGGGTCAGTTCAGCATGGTCAGACCATGCATGCTAGACCTGTGATGGGAGGCAACCAATGACAGCAAATCCTTGGCTCTTAATTATCCAGTGTTGTTCTTTGATGCTGCAGCTTATTGGAGATGAAACCCCATCCTTTTCCTGCAGTGGAAGGTCAGCAAGGAAGTGCCGGGCCAGTTTGAAACCATCACAGCCTCTGCAGATGACATTTGACAGATTACTGGCTGCCTAAGAAACTCCACAAGGCAGCGGTTGATGAAACCCTTCACAACCTCAGTTTACTGTTGATCTCATGGCTCCCATTGACTGACCCAGTCCTGTCTGTTCAGGCTGCATATCAAACATTGGAAAATTTTTTGGAAGCTCAGGGGCCCTACAAGAAGCAAAGTCAGCTGAACCCAGCCTGCTAGCTTTTTTCTGCAGAAGCTGTTGTCTTGCTTAAGCAACATTATTTTGGGTGAGAAGTGTTTTCACACTGCAGTCAGCCTGGTCTTTCTTCCCAGCATTGCAAAACAAGCATCTGCTATCAGGGCAGCAAAAGTCTGAACTCATTTCTGTCGTCTTCTGTGGTCAGAAGCCGTGAAGTGAGACTTGGGGAAGCGCCATGCTAAGCTCTGCTCTCACTCACGCCCTTGTGGGTTCATTGATCTCTATTGGCACTGACCAGAATTGCGCAAGAGCAACAGGATTCACTTTGCTGTGGTTTTTCCCTCTTTGTTCCTCTAAAAGTTCTTGTCCCTGTTGAAGTGAGCTAATGTTTTACATAGCCTTCTCTTTGGGTCTTTCTTTCTTACTCCCACCTTTTGTCATCTCATCGTGCAGCTAGAGCAATGCAGCACCTTCCATGAGGCCTGAAAACACCAAACTGGCAAATGTCCAGCGGCTGTTGCAAATTCCAGCTTGTAATCACCCAGGGGAAATGAAAACCAGGAACCCAGTAGAAACTCAGCCATGTCTCTCTCAGACTTGACAAATGGAAGTTGAAACAGAAACCTAAATCTGGTGGGCTAGATGCTTCTCTGTTTTCTACTCTGTCAACTGTTTGTTATCTTTTGCAACTCACTTCTTTATTTGCAAATAGCCAGAAATGAGAACAGCGCTAGAGATTTTCTTCATGTATTTCCTCAGTGTCCGAATTTAATTATTAAATAATTTCACAGAGCCTTGGGCCGTGGAAGCCAAACTCCTTTTTGACTGTAATTAGAGCTTGTCTGGAAGTGGCAGCGTGGTTTTTGTTTGAAGGCTTCCGTTTAGCTTTATTTACCTTGTGCATGCCCCGGTGAAGCGCTGTGAGCCTGACCTGCATTTTGTGCCAAGGCCACTTCATTGCGCTCCAGTTGTGCAAAGCACATTGGTACCTCTCTTTCTGCTGGGGGCTTAGCTGTGCCAGCATGAGGTAAAGTGGCCCTTGTGTAAATAAGAAGTGGGCCACAGATTTTTCATTGCTGCAAATGACACATACTGTAACAAAAATAGAACCTGACTTGTGAGATTAGATAACAGGCGATGACGTGCTTTGTGTATGTGTTTTAAAAGGCAAGCTGCAAAGGAGCTCTACTAAGTCCATCTGCTACAGTGATTGATGTTGATTTCCAGCACATAATTCTGACGCAGTTTATTTTTATGATACCCTGTGCCAGGGGATCATTTGTAAATTAACACTGCTGTAGTAATGAAAGAAATGTTGTGCTGGGCTGATGAAGTGTTAAGTCATGAAACTTGGAGTAATCCCAATGTGCAACTCTGCTGATGAGTATGTTTCCATATTGCTTAAAAGCTGGCTGTTGACCCACATTAACATGAGAGATGCCTCTGTGCGTTTACCTTCTTTTGCCACACCATGAGCTGTACTCTCTGCTTCTGAGGGCTGAAGCCACTCCCTTACAAAATCAGTAACAGCACTTGTGCGCTCCTAACTTACTCTTCAGCCGTGCATTTTGTTTTGTGTAGTCAAATACCATCACTTGGTTTTGCCTGACTTTGCATTGTCTTGCAGGTTGTCCTCAGGATATTGTGTTACTGTTGCAGGAACGCCTCTAAAAAGAGTGTGTAACAGTGGTATGTGGGCATCTGTAGCCGCAGGGAGTTATGGTGCTGTAATGTCAGATGTTAAACTGTATCACATGCCGCTTTCCATCCTTTCCAGTCTGATAAAAGCACCTCCCGTGCTCCAAATAATGATGGGTGGCTTTTCTTTTCTTCTTTTGCAGAAGTCAGAGGGCCACACCTCTCCCACATGATGGACAGCCAAATGAAATGTCTCAGGCTCCAGTGCTTATTTCCTGCGCTGACCAGTGAAGCTCCACTTTATTGTAAAACATTGTGCTTTACCTAATATCCTAGCCTTGTCTTTACCAAGGGAAGCTAGTCAGTCCATATGATGGAAACTATAGACTTGAAGCAAGTGCTTACTGCTCTGAGTGGCCCAGATTTCACTGGAAGCCAGACGTTAGCAACCTGGGCCAGGTCCTTAAATTGGAACCCAGTATGTTGGAGAGTGATAACAATTGTCTATTACTGAACAGAAATGGAATGATCCCAGAGCTTGCTTTCTATTGAAGGCTTTTAAACAGTAAATAGGTGGTTGGTGTGAAAAAGGCTGCCTTTACTGTTAGCTCACACAGCATCTCTTTTACCAACCAGAGAGTACGGCAACTAGTTTCGTATAATACCTAGTTATTCTAAATGAAAATGGAAAAAAAAAACCAACAAAAAAAACAACAAAAAAAAACAACAACAACAAAAACACTGACGCACTGCACTAGTTATTATTAGATATTCTTAGTCATTTTTGTACATGAAGATTTACGTTCTAAGATGGTTTATATTGATAGGTTATGCCTACGTTTATATTGTAGAATGAATTTAAAACCTGTTCCAGAGAACTCAAGGCAGCCTGGACAGATGTACCATTGTTAGCGGTGTTTGGGCAGCCATGTGGTCCAGATGTTCTGCACTTTTATATTTGCCACCAGAGTGGTAGAGTTTACTGGGAAAAATTCTGACAGGCTATGTTTTGGTTTGTTTCTTTTTAATTTAGCTTTGAATAACCAGGATGATGTGCATTAGAAAAAGGAGTGGTGTATGGAAAAAAAAATACTGCAGAGAATTGACTTGTCTTTCATGCCTTGGAAGGTTCCTTTATTTTTGCATAGATATCTGAGCGACTTGTTGAATCTTTCCTATAAACAAAAAAATACTGCAAATATGTTTTTCAAAAGTGACCTTAGTATTATTTCACCGTTCTGAAAAACCTAAAACCGTGACTTTTCGATATACATGTACACCAATACACATACCTTTTACATTTTACAGACACTGGCATTGTTATAGTTACTATGCACAGTCCAAATCAGCTTCAGAGTTTGCGTAAAGGGCCAATTACAGTTTGTGTTGGTAAAGTGGCAAGTTGTATACAGATAAACTACAACCGAAGAGTAACATTTGACTGAATTCAGACTACCAAACCGACCCATCTGCCAGTTTCTGTCTTTGCTTGTGTTGAATTTTTGTGTTTTGCTCTCATAAATACATCCCAAAAGCACGCCAAGTGTATCACTTGGCCTGTTGTCTTCGCTATCTTGACTTCCACTATTGTATAACCAAGCATTGATTCCTACCAATAGATGCAAAACGATCACTAGTAATTGATCTAAAGCTACAAATTCAACAGGGTACTTCTTCTATAGCACAAGATGTTTCCCTACTTTTTGCATTGTAGCACAACAATTTACCAAATTGGACTCCAGCAATAATTTTCTATTAGTCTTCGTCATACCGGCTGAACTTTTGATAGTATTAGATTGAGTTTGAAGTTCTTTGAATTGAGTCTTTAAATGATGCGAGTTTACATCATTCTATCAGGCATTCTTATTTATACTTGACTGAATTGATAATGTGTTTGGGGGTTATTTTGTAACTAATTTGATGTAATAGCCATATGGACAGTAACTCTATTAATGCTTGCTAGGTTTAGCCTTTCATTATACCTAAGTGAAAGTCTTTGGTTCAGTGTCAGGAAACAATATATATACAACATACCACATGAGTTGTAACAAAGGATTAAAGGTCTGACAAAAGGCAGGTAGCTGGGGAAGTGTCACTGAAATAGCACCATCGAGGATGCATGTGTTGGAAGAAGGGAACAACAACAAAAGAACAACAAAATTTACAAGCCAATGAGTCAGTGAAAAGGCTTTTTAAAAATTCAGGTGAATATATGAATAAGAGCCCCTAGAATGCCATTGTAGCCTATGGTGATATTTTTAATAAGATTTTATTAAAGTTTTATAAGTTATTTTAACAAGACAGGAAAAACTTAAAAGACTTAAAACTGTTGGGTCACAGCAAGGTGGCTATTGGAGTTTTGGACCACTTTATAATTAGCTGAAATCCAAATATGTTACAGTGCAGGCCGTTCACGTTGACAATGGTACTAACTTATTTCTCTAGAAACCTTTAGAGTAGATATATTTTTGTCAAAGCACCCCATCCTTCCTCGATTTAAATTTCAATATTGTTCCTGAAGATATTTCTGTATATTAATGGTACCTTTTTTAAAAGAAACAGAAAATTACTTTTTTCTATATGAATTAATATCTTACTTGATCTGCTTTTCCTTGACTTTCCCTTAGAGAGGGGGTAGGGTTGGGTCAGTTTACTGGATATGACTGTTTTCAGATACTTATAAAACTTTTTGTAGATATGCTTAATTTTTAAGCGATTAGGCACTGAGAGTAGCAGAAATCCTGCAAAGCTTTATAGTTCACTAGGCGTTTGCCTTTGTTGGTTCTCTGAGTGATGTCTTGATTTCCGTAGCTAGAATTTTCCCTGAATCTACTAGAAGGGGTATCAGTATTTTCAGGTAACAAAGTCTGTTAGCACAACAAAAATTTCAGACCAATATCTTACTGTATTGGGGTTGGGTTTTTTCCTTGTTTGTTTTGTTTTAATTTTTATTAATTTCAGCTGCTTTCATTTTGGAAAAATCTTATTGCTATTGTGTGTACTTCAGTATACCAGCAAACACTGTTACCCGTTAACACATTGTCCACAAATGCCTCTAGAGAAGAAATTGTTGCACCTTATGTATATCTCAAGCAAACCAAAATATGATGCTTTTCTGCTTTGTTTATTCTGAATATGTTGTATCATACTTTACTGAACCCATTTTAACTTAGCTATAGCTATCGATATTTATGCATTTCACATTATTTTCTGGATCTGAACCTGTGTATAAATCTTTCTTTAAAAAAAAAAAAAAAGAAAAGCATTTACCGTAGTCGTCCTCTGTGACTTATCCATGGGAGGGGGGAATCTTGTCTCAAGTGTAAAATGCAGTACTGTCCCAGTTTTCCTTGGCTTTTATTTATTTAGCGATCTTTGATATTTCATGTGTAGTTTTGAGGTATACAAAATACATTGTCGTAGCCAAAGCTACAGATCTAAGCAGCTGGGAGAAAATTACTGTAATGTCTTCTTAATTGTTCTAGTACTGTATACAAATATGGGAAAAACGTTCTGCTGAACATTTGAGATGCAGATTCTTATCCCCACAGTAGGTTATTTTCCAGATATTAGACCAAATCAGTCAAAACTCAATGATCTTAAAAGGTCTTCTCCAAACAAAGTGATTCTATGATTCTAAAAACATCTATGGAGATTACTTAATGGTCTGCTTATTGCAGTAACTACCCCTTGAATGTGCTGTGATTTCAGAAATAGAATATATTTATTTAAGATGACTGAATGCTCTTTTATACTAATACAGTATCCCAAAGTCATGAGCAAGAGACTTCTTGGTAGTTTGGGTTTCTATTTTATAGCATTGGTGCATGACTTTTGAAATTAAAGTGATAAGCGTTGTTGGAAAGGGGCAGAGGAACAAGGGATTGGTAGAAGCGCGTGAACTTGTGGTGTTTAAATTCCAGCTTTGGTCTTTATTATTTGGGTGAAAGCTGCCTTTGTAGCACAAGGCTGAAGAGCACTCTGGAGTTTGTACCAAGTAGAAACCCAAGAGAGTTGTAACTCACATCAGATCGAAGGAATGCCTTCTAGTTTGGATGCTGTCTTTTGGAACAGGATATTAAATTGAAGCAGTTTGAATTTCCACTGCCTGTTTAGCTACTGTACAGATACTGAACAGACTGAAGGCAACAGTTGTAGACGTGGGACAGCTAAGAGAGGATGAAAGGAAAGCTGGCCTTTGTTCTCAGTATGGCAAAGTTATGGCAACAAAGGGGAATTGGGAAAAAAGAGAGATGTATATATATGTGTGTGTGTGTATGTGTGTGTGCGTGTGCGCCTGGGTGTGTACATTCTGGAAAAAAAAAAGTGTAGGAAAAACAAAAACATGATGGGTCTACAAGAGACTATAATGTATGTTGACCCTTTGAGTGCACTCCCTTTTTTTTAATGCTGAGTCTAATATGGCTACCTCTCCTAAAAGACTACTTTTGTTAACTTCCATTTGTTTTCAGGCTTGATCATGTAATCTTTTTCAGCCATTGATACCATTTGTGTATCGCTGTGTGCTTTACTTTCCAAGAGCAACACTTACATAGCGCAGACAACGTAAAGGCTGACTATACAGTGGTAGCCAAACCATGTTGCTGGAGCATTTTTGTTTAATCTCTGCCATAGTGATATGCGTTGCAGGATGTGGGCTCGCTAGCTCAAGTTGGTTCAGTGAGATCGGGTTTTGTAACAGTAGAAAATGCAGCGCTCATGGGGTGGTGGACGTCAGATACTGCCAGAGGTGACGCAGTAAGCCAAGTGCTGCTCTTGAAACTTACTCTGGAGTTTACGTTTGTAATCCTGATTTCACAAGGAAACATAACTGTGCAACTTGTGTGTTGTATACCATACGTTATCCATTAGATGCTGTTTGTTTGCCGTGCTTGTTTGATAGATTGTAGAGCTCCTAGGTATCTTTGCCATGTTTTGTGATACTTGTGGCATTCTCCTTACCTTGTACATATGGTGGAACTGTCAGCTACAGCTGCCAGGATGCTGAGGCACTTCAGGACACTGAGCGCCGTGAACGAGTGCATTTAGGCTGTGAAAGAGTTACTTGCCTCCTCCCCTGAATTTCCCATTAAAAAGGCACAGCGAGGTTTGTGCTCTCACTTAAGTACTATTATAGTCATTTATATACTCAGTATTTTCTACTGAATTGACAACTTTGAAGAAACTTATGAGACGGATGTATATTTTATGTTCCCCCACTAATTTTTCTAAGGCAGAAATTTAGGAAGACTTGACGTGAGACCTGCACTCAGCGACACACCTAAGCTTATGCTGAAAACCATCCTTACTTAAGGGGCAGCGTTGTTGTTTGCACTGTGACAGTGCAGGAGCCCCAGTTACGAACGACTGTGCTCTTGGAGTTAAGCATGGGCTTGCGTGGTGTTCCTGGGGGAGGCACATCATTGTGACCTAGGGTCTTCACTGACATGAAATTTTAAAACTGACTGCAAATAGCTTAACATTTGTTGAGTTCTTCCAAAGAGTTATATTCTAGTTTCTGGGTCTTGGCTGTTACCATATACCAGCAGACCCACACTGTATGCTACTGGCAAAAACACACCTGTACCAGCTAACTGACCAAGCTTCTGAGTGTAACCATCTAATCTGCTCTTTTCACCCCTACAACTGAAACCTTATTTTCCCACACACACTGCTACACTTTAATCAGTGGTTGGGGCTTTGAAGGTGA